CACGCCCACATAAGGGTTTAAATATATTATTGCACTTGACTGTAGTATCTTCTGTTCGCCTTTCCTTGGGTGCCGTTTCAATCTGTCTTACTTCATGTTCATCATTGACTCCCCCAGTCCCACCTTCAGTTATGTAGAGTTCTGTGTAAATCTCACTGAGAAGTGTTGGCTGTCCTCCCTTAGCTTTCCCTTCAAATACACACTCAAATTTCTGCTTCAGGGTAGATTTCATTGTGCTGAATATGAGCTCCCCTGAAGAAAAATGAGAGGAAAATGCACTAATTCTCAACATGATCCTGACCAGTGTAGTAGGAGGATTAAAACACACAACACTAATCTCAACATGACGACCTTAGCTCCTACCCAGCCCTAACCTTAACCTTAACAATAAGTTACCAAAGAAAATAAGAGACTTTTGATACAGTATTTTTAGTTTTTCAATTGCAGTCATAGATTCAGACATAATATTGAAGTTCCCCGTAGTGGGGACCAAAAAAATGGACTCCACAAAGTCAGAATAAGAGATTTTTATCACATTGTGGGTAAACACCACGCACAGACTTTTTCACTATTTGTTTCAAAGAAACTTTAAAATTAACATCATACATATTTTTCCTGAAGCCCCAGATATCTGTACAGCAGTTCCGGACACTTTAAAGATAAAGTGTATTTCTGAAAATGATGCTGTAGGTTATTCCCAATCCCAAACACCTGAAAAGTATTTCCAACTTTCCCTAATGAATTTACGTTGGGAGGAACTGACGTTAATTCTAGCTATTTTTTAAATTAGCAAATGTCGAATTATCCAAGGTAAGCTAGTAACACTCTGCTCCACGGACCACAGACAGTAACACGGTAAATACTCTGATTAGTGATTATTACCTCTGTCTTTTTCCCATTTTTCCTCCTCTCCTCTTCCTCGTTTTCCTTCCTGGGCACCGGAGGGCTTTGGTCTTTCTGACATGATAGTGTCTGTTTGAATTAGATACCATTAATCGTATCACACACTTATCAATCATATCAACGTCACTTAAAGACGCCTACAGTGTGTGATACGGAGGGGAGGGGGGGGCCGGGCAAAGCAAAAAATATCCAAAGTCAAAACTTTAATTTTTACCCCTTTTCAATGGACGGTGCCCCTGGCATTTTCCTGTACTGCCCTTCACTATTGAGTCCAAGGTGCTTTACATGGGCATGTTGGGATATATTCCTGCATCATTTATGTAGAATAATTCAAAAACACGGAAGAGAGATGAAAAAGAAATTAAAAAAAAGATAATCAGTCGACAACGAAGGTGAGGAACCAAAAACTCTCCCCCTCCCCGGGCATGATAACAGTATAGAAAAAGGAGGAGTGGGCTTGCTTGCTAAAAGCAAAGTGTAAACTACAGAACAGCATACAGCTCTTACTCTGCTCCAATTTGTCACCCAGCTCACTTCCTGCTTGGGCACCTGAAACAAGGAAGAATTTCAGATTCATTTCTGTCTCCAACATCAGTATCTAACAAACTGTTCATCATTTCCCATATAATCCTATACAATATGTTAATTTTTCAAGAGATTAAAAAGGTTACAATTTAGAGAAAAAAGAAGAAAGGTTAAACATATGATTACCCTGCTGCAGGTCTTCATTCAGTCTCTGAGCAAGATCATTCAGGTTCATCTTCTTCAAGATTTCAAGCATGACATTGAGAGCATCAACTTCACTGTAGGAACTTATCATCTTGTCGGCGAGGTCTGTTCTATCCAAGTCCTTCATCTGAGCCCTGGAAAGGGGCTTTAACTCTTCATACTTTGTGCGACTCAGTTTCGATTTAAACTTCTTCAGCTCTTCATCATCGAGCTCCTCCAGGTAATCCTCCAAGAGGTCGGTGAGCGAGGTCTGGGTCTGCAGAATGTCGGAGATGAGTCCATCAGACCTCACAAACCCGCACATGGTCACTCCTACACAAACACTGACCTTTCAGTTAAAAGAAGACAGTTTCCTGCTCACAGTTTTATGCGGCTACTGAAGACACCTGCTGTGATTTTTTCATTATTATAAGAAGCACATGTGTGTTCATTTTCTGCATAATTATTAAACCTATATTTAACCAGGTTAGTCAACTGATGTTTAAAATCTCTGTTAAAAGAGAGATCTGTGCAATTTAAATAGCAATAAAAATAGTTTAAGACCCAAACATCCATCCATCCATCCATCACCGAAACCGTTTAATCCCAACTGGGGTTGCGGGGGGGCCGGAGCCTATCCCAGGAAAAAGGGGTGCAGGCAGGAACCAACCCTGGGCAGGTGCCAACACACCGCAGGTCACACACACACACACACACACACACATACACCTACACACACACATACACACATTTACTGGGCCAATTTAGACTCGCCAATCAACCTGCCCTGCATACTTTTGGACCGTGAGAGGAAACCGGAACCCCAGGCGGAAACCCACTCGGACATGGGGAGAGTGTGCAAACTCCACACAGAAAGGACCTGGGATCGAACCCAGGACCTTCTTGCTGTGAGGCACAGATTAAAACAGTAAGATCAAAAACAAAACAGTAGCCTGAGGAAGAGCACTGCGGAGAGTGAGCTTTTTGTCTGCTAAGTTATTCTGTTCTGTTACAGTACGTCTGTAACATTTGGTGCAGTGCGGTATGGTAAGGAAGTAGCCTGAGGAAGAGCGCTGTGGAGAGTGAGCTGTTTGTCTGATATTTTCAGCAACCTTCAGCTGAAAATAGTTACTCATCTTAAGCTTTCCTGCATTTCAGTGTCAGGTTTTACAGACAACATGCATCATATGCTGAGACGTTATAGCCAAACCTCTCCATGGGAATGGTGAGCCATTGCTTAGATGATTATGGCTGGAAAGAAACCATTTCCTGTGCATCACAGTCTGACTCTGTAATAAAAACCAAAAGTAATGTTAGCTTTATATTCAAAAGTCAGTTTACCAGCTGTAATGTCTTTCAATCAAAGCAAACTGGTCAGCTTTTACTTGAACATAGGCAGTTTATAATCACAGGCAGAGATGTCCATTGAGTATTTGGACTAATAAGTATGGGCCATATTCTACCGTGTGCTTAAGTCAAAAAAGTGTGTAGCCATTGACATGAGCGCTTTTAAGCACCTTTTCAACTATGTGCTCTGAAGGACTGTATTTGTCACAGACTAGTGTTATCAGACTACGTTACCCAGAATACCCTGCTCCCGTCTTCCTCCCAGTTTAAAATGACCTTGTTCTTTGAATTTTTGGCACTTGTTGGCTTCATTACTCATCATATTTATATTTGCATGTTCCCTCAGTATTGGATAGGCACGTTGGAATTGAAAGTATACATTTTTCTATCAATGTATTCAGTGCTTGAAGTGGATCAGTACTCACAGGTACACAGTAGCAGCACCTCTGTCTACTGAAAGCACTGGCACCTGGAACAGAATAACAAAGTAAGTACTGTACTAGCACCTGGTGCTGTACGTATAACAAGGTGTATTAGGATGAATTCGCAGACGATTACGTCGCCCACGTGGCATGGAATTAATCCTTTTACTATAAATTGTGATTGTGGATTAATTCTGATCATGTATGGACTAATCATCCTGAAATTCAGATTCATCGTCCATGATTCCCCCAGAATATTATTGAACTGCACCAACATGCTGGTTTTACCGCTCACCTGTACAACTTTTTTTTCACAAATAACTTGTGTCTCATGAAATACGGAATGCTTATCTTGGTTTCAGGAGAGAGCGTGGGGTCGGAATGTGGGATCGTCCTCAGGGCAAGGGGAGGATAAGTATGCGGGACGCTTATCTTGTCTTCAGGAGGATGGGGAGGCATTGCGCAAGGGGTGAGGGTAAAATGCGGACTGTTTACAAACAATGGATTTTATGTTTATAAACAGACGTGTCGCAAATGACGCACGCCGCATAGACAGATCACGTGGCATAGAAAGAAACCCATACGACGTTACCTAATCACGGGGTGCGTTCGAGGTGTGTCTGCAGCTGACGTGACGTGGAGCGCATTGCTGAGCTCCTCGAAGGCTCTTTTGTTTATGTCTGGCGGAATCTGGCGGAATCCGCATTTTACCGTCACCCTTTCTTTCTCATGCTGGTGAGCCACCGATACCGTTTCTTACGTGGCGAAAGATTTTCGACAACTACATGCTAGTAATAAATGCCACGGGAGACGCACAGCCAGATGCTAGGAGACGTGCGGTTTTGCTACACTGCCTGGGTCCGGAAGCCATGACCGCTCTCGAGAAGCACTTTGTTCTGAAAGTTAACGTAGTTGCATGCAGGCACATATTCCGGCAACGTGTGCAGCGAGCTGATGAAACTGTGTCCCAGTACAGTATGTGGCTGCTTTAAGAGCTTTTGCTACATCCTGCGATTTTGGACAAATGGAAAGTGAGATGATACGAGATCAGTTAATATCAAACTCTTATCTCACTGCGGTGAAGGATAAGTTATTACTGTAGGATGATCTCACACTGGACAAGGCTCAGAGGATCGCAGAGCAGGTCGAGGCACCGTTTAAAAATGCCGCGCTGCTTTCGTCAGCCAGGACCGTCCCGACTGCACAGGTTCATGCTATTGGAACGCAGAACACACGTTTTCGAGGGAGAAGAGTAGTGCACCCAGCTAAATCACCGGCGTTGGACCGGCACCAAAGCAAACCGGTGAACATTACTCAGCAGCAACGTAAATGCTTCAGATGTGGATCCACCAGGCATTTGGCTAATGGTAAAAACTGTCCAGCTGCTTCGGTCAAATGAGAGAAGTGTGCTCTGTGCTCTGGCTTTCCAGAAAATGATGCAGACAATACTGAAAGATCTGCCTGGAGTACAGAACTACTTAGATGACATAATAGTATATAGAGACTCAAAGGCCACACATGACAAGCACCTGCAAGTGGTCCTCGAGTGTCTTAGGGATGCCGGCCTTCAAATAAATTTTGACAAAAGTTCTTTTGGTCAAACAGACGTTACATTTCTGGGGCATGTCATTTCTAAGGAAGGCCTGCACCCAACTCCAGATCATCTGACTGCTATAGTTGAAGCTCCTGTGCCTAATAACATGCCAGCATTACGCTCCTTCCTGGGTTTAACTTCCTGGTTCAGCAAGTTTCTACCAAACTACACTATGCTACACTCGTGGAGCCCCTATGACAGTTGATTAGAGCAGGTCCACAGGAGTTACGATGGAATGATGCCGCAGATAAAAGCTTCATTAAACTTAAAACACTGCCCCTGAAAAGCCCTGCACTTGCTACTGTATCTATGACCCTAAATTACCTACTTTCATAACAACAGATGCCTCTGACTACGGGTTGGGAGCTGTCCTGACCCAACTGCACGCAGGCCATATTGAACGCATTGTGGCCTTTGCTTCCCGTACACTATCAGCTGCAGAGAGGAAGTATTCTACTACAGAAAAAGAGGCTTTAGCCTGTGTATGGGGACACAGATTCACACTTCGAACTGACCACCAAGCTCTCACCACCCTCCTCAATACCAAAGGCATGAACAGAGCTGGCATGAGGATCACACGATGGTCGGCTCAGCTGATGTGTTTACAATACGATGTGCAGTACCGCCCAGGTAGACAGAATGTTATGGCAGACTACCTTTCACGTATTCCCCTTCTCACATCCAGCTCTGCTGCAGATCTTGAGCAAGATCTATTCACAGAAATAGCTGAGATCTCTCCCCTCCTTGCTGCACTGCCATTTGCGGATTTTAAAGCTGAATGTGAACATTGTCCTGCGCTGGCACAACTGCAACAGGTCATTAGTTCAGGGTGGCCTAAGGTGAGTAAGTCTCTCCCAAATGATATTCAGCCATATTTTGTAGTTAGATATGAACTTGCAGTTGAGTCGCCACTGGTCTTCAGAGGAACACGCCTGGTGGTCCCCAAGTACCTTCAGGAGAAGATAGAACATCTGGCTCATGAAGGTCACCAGGGCATAGTTCGCACGAAACAAGGCCTCAGAGAGCTGTACTGGTTGCCGCACATGGACGATTTAGTCCGCACAGTTCTGTCATCATGCACGACCTGTCAATCATGTGACAAAACTACTAAAACCTCTCTTGCCCCATTGCAGCCTGTTGAGTTTCTGGGGGGCTCGTTTCAGCATGTGGCTGTTGACATTGTACAGTAGGTCCGTTTGATCTGGGGCCCATGAATGCAGATTTGCAATCACTCTCATTGACTATTTCAGTAAATGGCCTGAAGTAGCATTTGCTGCAACTGCAACTACAGCCACTGTCATCGCGTTCTTAACTTCCGTTTTTTCGCGTGAAGGGAACCCCTGTGCCATTACAAAAGATAATGGCCCACAGTTCACTTCTTATGCCTTTGCTGAGTTCCTGGAAGAAAGGGGCATAAAGCACATCAGAACGAGTGTCTACCACCCTCAGTCGAATGGATGCGTTGAACGGTTTAACCGAGTACTAAAAGACTGTATTCAAGCAGCACAGGTAGCTCACCTGCCATGGAAGTCGACAGTTACTGAGATGCTTCAGAGCTACCGTGCCACAGCCCATGCGACAACTGCCGTTTCCCCTTTTCAGCTTCTGAAGGGCAGACTAATGCGGACAAAGTTTAATGTTCTACCACCGCCTGAGGATGGAGAGAAGTATGGTCAACTTAGGGCTAGAGTTGCCTGGCAGCAGAAGAAGAGTAAATGATACACAGACACCAAGAGAGGTGCAAAACCTTTCAAAGCTGCAGTTGGGGATAATGTACGGGTGCGCAAGCCGATCAGCCTGGTAAAGGGAGAGAGACAGTTCGCTGACCCAATGACTGTGCGGCGACAGACTGGGCAGAGGACCTTCATCTTGAGCGACGGGAAAAGGTGGAATTCAGCACGCCTGTCTCTCTGCCCAGAGGGAGTAAAGGAGTCGCAGCAGGCTGATACAGCAGAGGAAACCAACAGTCCAACACTGTCTGATACAGGACAAACTGTTCATCGTAGAGAAAGGCACTTACCCAGTTGGACAAAAGACTACGTAATGAAATAGATTTGACTTTAAAACATGAAGACATGTAAAGGTTGCAGGCGGATCGATACCATATATATATTATATGTGTGTGGTAAAAAAAGTTCTGACTATCACGAACATTGTATATGCTTTGTTTAATTACAATAGTACAATATAACCACTTGGCAGTTGTGACTCCTTAAAAGACTGTTCAGTTACATTGGATTTACCTTTAGCTGCATTATACACTCATGTATTCCGTAGAGGAAGGTTATGAGTATAGAAAAGAGAGTTACTAGTTAATACTAAGGTAGTAGTGTTTCTGTGAGTTATGGGGGGGGATGTTGTGTTTTAAGACTCATGCGGGATGCAGCTGAGATAGACACTAATACTGTGGACTGTGATATTGACTGCACTCTCCAGAACAATAGGGGGTGCAGGAGAAAGAGTGGTGTGTTCTAAAAAGTAAGGAGAAATAAAGAAAAGGTAACCGTTCGTCTGGATCCTTAAATTTATTATTTTCTGACGAGTATAACACTAAGCGTGCTGGTTTGTTCCTTCGAGGGCCCTATATCCCTCTCACATCATATTAATACACAAACGGAGTACCGGCACCTGACGTGTAATAACAAGGGGAATACTTGTACGTAGTACTGAATAACAAGGGGGTACTGATACCTGGTACGGAATAACAAACGGAGTATCTACACGTAGTACTGAATAACGAAGGGAGTACCTGCACGTAGTACTGAATAATAAAGGGGAGTACCGGCACCTGTTTTTCCCCACTACAAGTACTGAATGCAGTTCATTGCACCAAAGGTTGTAATATCTCGCAGCCACACTTCTGTGGATGTTAACCAACCTTTCATATACAGACACAGAGCCGTGGATTGGAGAAAAATACAGTGCAAATACAAAACTGTACTGTACCAATAGGTCACTGTATTGTAAAAAATATTTCTTCCTTCCAATTAAAAAAACTGATTACAATAGAGCTTTTGAGTTTGCCCAACATTTTAATGAGTAAATGTACAAATCAAATCTAATTAAATTACAAGGAGGCCGATACATTATACTTTTGGACTGACAAATAAAATCAAACTGGCCCAACCAAAAGAAACTAATACAGCCAACAACAGTTAATGGACATAATATTAATTTCACAATTAAAGTTTACTGCCACTACTTTTGCATGAGCCCTGCATGCATTCTCCGAGCCAATCATAATCATTTTCATCCTTACTGTTTAAATCCCTCATAGACCTCCATCCATTTTGAACTCCTTTTTGCTTTAGAAATATTGCAATATTTATAGCAAAAAATAGTTTTTCCAGTATCGTGAGGCTGCAGTTCTAAGTAGTGGTGGGCGGATCGATCTAAGTATCAATAATATCGATAATAATGTTGGTATTGATATTGATCAATACCAGTTTAATGAGATCGATAATTCAGTTTCGATCTCTCTCCCGAATGCACTGCGGCTGTCTGTGTTCGCGCTGCTGCTCTCAATTGCCGCTCCCGGCTGACTCAGCGGCGCCAGGCTAGCAAACAGGCGCGGGCGCACACACACACACTATAATATTTATAATAAAGTATTATAATAGTGGGTCGCTGAGTCATGCTCGCAATAATTAAACAGCAGGGATAGTTCGGGGTTTAATCATCAGATGCCGTTTATTACACCCGTACTACTACAACCCACACACCGGCACTGCTCACCGTGCACGTCGCCCCGTTTACTCCTCATATACACGGTGGGCGCACGCACACATACACACACACACACTACATACAACAATAAACATTAACCACTATACATGATATAACACACAGCACATTTATAATCACACAAGCGATTACTGAGAACTATTTACAAGCTGGCATCAGTCCAACATGCCGCGCTGCCGGCCGGTACCATCGCACTACAGTAGGGTGACTATATTTTGATTTCCAAAAAAGAGGACGATCGGCACGGCCTCCAGACGAATTCAGACAAGCTTCTTGGTGGTTGATGAACATTATTTATTATACTTCAATGGTGCAGAATTAACCTCTGTAATAAAATAAAATGAAATATGAAAAAACTTATAACAAAATAATAGCTCTCTTAGACTCTTCAAATAAATAATTAAATATTGTTCTAAATATGAACTATTCTGTTCCAGCTTCAACAATATATCT